GGCTGATGAGGGCCAATTGCCTTGCATGGGAAGATGAGGAATCTTTTAATATCCCTGTACAGTCCTTGCAGACTACATCGTTAAGTTTCTTCAAAGTGTATCCACTTTCGTCAGAAATTTCATTTTTAAGTGCATTGCATCTTTAATGTATTGCAAATTTTAACAAAATTAACAATGTGTCTGTGTTCTTTATCAAGGGCTACTGGAATTGCAACTATTGTTTGACTGAAATTCTTACTCGTTAGATTTTGATTTATCAAAAAGCTATCCACTACATCCCAGCAACAGCTTGAAGTGAAGGCAATGCGATCATAATTTTATTGGCCATTATCTGTCTCTTCAAACAAAATTGTAACTGTTGTGCAGTGGGGCGGGGGGGGGGGGGGGGGGGGGGTCTGGATTGTCAAGAAATGCCCACCTTTTCCTCTCATGGTGACTGACATGTTTAAGTTCATCTTGATATCACTGTAAGTAATCCCCCATTAACACCTCACAATGTCTGCCAAAGCAGTGATGCTGTGGATCCACTCACTGACTCATAGTAATGCTTCTGCAACTTTCTTTTTGTCTTCGGGGCCAAACGTCATGAATTATCTTTCAACCACTGAAGTGTCTGCTGCAAAATTTCATGGTGCTGTAATGTAGTTGTGACTGGGTTATGATATTCGACAGAGAATGACACAAGTGACCAAATGAAAACGTTGAAAAGGTCATCAAAGTCATTACAGAAATCAGATATAGCGATGTCAGACAAAGGATTAATTCCGAGATACATATAGTGTTCCAATTTAATTGCTTTTGATACACTGTGACCAAGCACGTGCACAGCCAAACAAACCCTTTGTCGTCCAAAACTTGACACACAGTTGGTTAACTTGGGTGACACCTTGAATAAACCTAAGGCACTGTCTTTTTCATAGAACTTTTCAATAACTGACCATCATGATGAAATTGTGGTAGATCAGCAAACAATTGTTTCTAATTCTTAATTAAGTGTGGAGGATCGAAGAGGACTGTGATTTTATCACCTTCGTGGTTTAAAAAAAAGGATTTTCGGGGGTGAGACTTAGTTTAGTGTTCTAAAACCGTCTGGTTGTATGGCCTTGGTCACACGCAAGCCTTCACCTTCAAACCAACATATTTAAAGCTTTTAGTGGCCTCTAACAAACAATGGAACAACAAGCTGCACTACCCGCACCGGGTGCGCGCTGATAAGGAAGCAGGTCAGCGGTTGACCGTCGGTTGACGCGCAGACATTCCTCCCAGGAGATTCGTGAGCTCGCACGCTTTTCGCCCCATTGCTGTATCATGGCAAAGATACGACACCCAACGGTAGGCTGTACTATCTTTGATCATTGTACATGCACATGTATATTTATAATCATTGCCTCGGCCCACTATAGGTCTTACCCAAGGAGCTTAAAACAAACGAAGTGTATACAGACCCGGTAACCGGGAACGAAGTCACGAAGTATACAGACCCGGTAGGGGAACTCTTT